GGATGGGCAGCTTGAAAAATGGCTTACAGGTGGCATTTTAGTTTCTTTAGCAATTCAATTTTCCTAGGTCATACCTAAATAAAAATAATTATGCTTTCTGCGGTAGAACAAGGTCATTCTGACCTCCTCACCCCCCTTCTGGCTGGAAATTAGGCAAAGGATTTTTACAGTCTTACAAAAAAGAGGTATTGATAACTCCATAAAGTATGGTAAGATGAATCAAACTGAAGCCTCTTACATTTATTTTATAAATTTCTATTTTTTTTTTTTTTGAGACAGAGTCTTGCTCTGTCACCTGGGCTAGAGCACAGTGGCACAATCTCGGCTCACTGCAACCTCTGCCTCCCGGGTTCAAGTGATTCTTGTGCCTCAGCCTCCCTAGCTGGGATTACAGGCACGTGCCACCATGCTCGGATAATATCTGTATTTTTAGTAGAGACGAGGTTTTGCCATGTTGGCCAGGCTGGTCTCAAACTCCTAGCCTCAAGTGATCCTCCTGCTTCAGCCTCCCAAAGTGCTGGGATTACAGGTGTGAGCCACGGCACCTGGCCACTGCTTTAGGTAACTCTAGAAAGTATCTCCTCACCCTTCCAGGTTCCTTTTTGGAAAATAAATCAACATTGGCCTACGTGACCAATCACTTTCAGTGTCAGAGTTTCTGTTTTCATATTCTCAGTCTGTACATCATTCCAGCAGTTGCCAACAGTAGCTGTCTTCCATGACTTATAGGAGAATTACTAAAGGAACAGACTAAATATTTATTTTAAATAACACACAGACTAAATTAGCAGCAAGAATTATTTCTCAGGAATTCACCTGCAATCCCAGCTACTTAAGAGGAAGGGAGGATCCATTGAGCCCAAAAGTTCAAGACAAGCCTGGGCAATACAGGGAGACTATGTCCCTAAAAACAAACAAAAAGTTTTTCCTGTTTTATGACAGTCACAAAGATTTATTATTTCTCAGAATAACAGACTTCATTTGACAGTTTTAGTTGTTATATTAGAATTATCAAGCACCTTATGAGCTGAGATTACAGACTCAATTTCTGAATACAGGACAGGGAAAATCTGACATAAATGAGAAAAGCCTCAAACTTTTTCAGACCACATGTTGCATAACGAATTTACAGCTGTTTTATTTCGTTGGTTACACATTGAGTACTATGAAGAGAAGCATCCAAATAGATAAATTCACAGACCCAGCAATGAATTTTACAGCCTGGAACAACCTATACCAAGTGGTATGAGTAAATATTCTCATCAAACAGCCCAAAACATCTCCACTGGTTCCAATAACTGATTACTGATTTCCACATCACAAAGATTAGTTTTTTTCCAATATCTAACTCTTATTAGAGACCCGGATATTTATTATTGAGGCAGAAGAATAGGGTCAGCAGGCAGGGAACTTAAGGGCAATTCATGCTGAATCAAGGAAAAACACCAAGGTTTGGGGGCAGGGAATCTGAGGTCAATTTATGTTAACTTTCTAAAAGAGAAAACACCAAGGTCTGGGGGCAAGGAATCTAAGGCCAATTCGTGCTGACTTTCCAAAGCTGAATTCCCAAAAGGAACCCCCTGGGTCTGGGGGCAGGGAACCTAGGGCCAATTAAGGCCAACTTCCTAAAGCTAAACCAAAAGGAAAAATCCCATCTCCCCACGCCGGAGTGGCAAAGGATCAAAGGCTACTATCCCTGCAACCCTCCTCTTCCACATTTCAGATGGAAAGGGAGAGTGCCTTAGACTGGCCACAGGCCAAGCAGGGACCATCCTTCATCTATACAGGACGCCAATTCACCTTGGCCTTTAATTAGCCACAGACCAAATCCTTCATCCAGATAAGGGGTAACCCATAGGAACCACAAAAGGAGCACTCAAAACCCAGAAAACTTTGTAAGTGGGCTCTTGAGCCCCCTGCTCCGGGCCACTCCCACCCTGTGGGGTGCTTTCTCGCTTTAATAAATTCCTGCTTTCGCTGCTTCATTTGTGTTTCATTCCTTTGTTATTTTGTGCGTTCTGTCCAATTATTTGTTCAAAATGCCAAGAACCTCGACAACTTACACTCAAGGGCCTCCTACCGGTAACATTACGGGAAACACCATTTCCTCCTCACATTTCAGATTTGCTTCCAGTGAGGTAGGTACTTGGGCACTTGAACGCATCCCTTTAAAAAGGAGAAAGCTTTCTGATCTATGTAGTGATTTATCTGGCAGTGCCTTCTCTCCACCAGCCTCTGGCCTTATTTTCCTGAAGATCAGATGAATCAACATAACTTTTGTAAACTAAGATCTAGAAAGGGCCTTTGGTTATTATCAGTAAATGCTGCGCTAAAGAAAGAATTGGTGGGCGGGTCACCACCCCAGGCTACTCCACACAATGCTATTCATCTTAGAAGCAGTAAGACGGGGGAAAGGTTTGCATCCCATTTGCTTATTCGGTCCTACTAAATCAGCCTTGGCAGGACACGACCTGCAAAATAACCCCGTGGATCCGTGGAGTCACCATACTGCAGGGTCAAAGGACGGCGTCGGCGGCTCTCCGCTGTTAGGGACCTAGCCGCGGAAGGCACCACAACCCTCATTCTTTACTCTTCCCGCCTGGGGGCCGTGAAGCCAAGCCTACCGCTCTGAGCACATCCAGGGTCCCCGGGCCCGGACTGCTGACACCGAGGCAAGGTCTCACCAGGCCCATTCTGCCCAACCTCCCCGATTCTCGCTTAGCCTCTCTTCCCTTTCGGGGTGCCCTCCCGCCTGCTACCCCGAGGGATGCAAACTCACGACCACCGCGGCGCCGGTGAAAATGTCCTCCCCCTCGGTGTCGCTGTCCCCAGCCTCGGGTTCTGACCCCCCGGCCGCCCCCTCGGACTCCGGCTCCAGGCCGGGGAAAGGCGGAGGGAGTCTCTCCGAAGCGTTACAGCCACCACCACCCGACGCCATCTTCCTCCACCCGCGGCGGAAGCCGCAACAACAACTTTATCGAGAGATAGCGCCGTGAGCAAAGCGATCCAACGGTGCGAGGAGTGGGAGGGCCGCAAGGGACCCGTGGGATCCAAGGGGCGGAGGCGCAGGGGCGGGGCCTAGGCGCCGGGGGCGGGGCGGCACCCGGCCAGCTGAGGCTGCCCGGCAAATCCGAGGCCTGGATCGCGATGCTGAGATATTAATGAGTGGGGCCAAAGGGGCAGAAAAGTAGGAGTTAGGGCTAGCTGCTCTGGTTCCTAGGGCCCTTTGTGCTCTGGATAGCTTTATCCAACAGGCTTCTAAGAGTTCGTCTGAATGAAGGAGTGTAACTAAAATGTTTGAAAACCTCTACATGCCTTCTACCCATGCCAAGCACAATGCCCTCACAGAAGTCAGCACGAATTGGCCTTAGATTCCTCGCCCCCAAAAATAAATATTTCGATTGAGGTATCTGAACAAGACTGGAAGAAAACTTCACCACTTATTCCTTGAGCAACATTCAGTTAATTCATTAAGAAATACAGATATTGAGCATCTACTGTATGCCTGGCACCTTGCTATGAGTTTCAGATACAGAAATAAGGAAGGTATTTAATCGACAGTTCAACATGTTCAATGCTATGGTGTGCTGTGGGAGCACAGGGAAAGAGATTATCAATTCTACTTGGAGAAGTCGGGAGGCCTCACAGAGGAAGTGAGACCTCAGTGTCCTAGATTTGGCTGGAAAAATGTTAGGATTATCCTCTCAATTGCTGTGGAGTAAGCGGAGTGGCATAGACAGCAGAGAAATTATTAAACCCTGATCAAAATTTCCCTGGGACCTAAGCAATTCATTATCTGGTGATCCTAAAGCCTACATTAACTAGACAAACAGGACTGGAGTTTAAAGATAAATGGATATGTTAGCATGGGACAATTCTGTAAGATAATCCTGTCTTCTTAATAGAGATGACATTTGTCACCAACTTTGACAAGAAGTTTAGTTAGTTTGGTTGTAACTGCAAATTCAGGGATGGACTCCCTCACAGGTCATGTGAGCTGTCTGAAGGCAGGGGCAGCGTTTTATCTTTGTATCTTCCATGCCTATGGATCACCTATGGCAAATTAGCACCTATAAATTTGATCGGAGGGATGGATGGATAAAATAAAATCGATTTTGTTACTGGCATCCATTACACCCACGAACACCAGAGGGCTTAAGATACACTTTTTTTTTTTTTTTCTTCGAGAGAAGTCTCGCTCTTCTCCCCCATGCTTGAGTGCAATGGCTCGATCTCTGCTCACTGCAACCTCCGCCTCCCGAGTTCAAACGATTCTCCTGCCTCTGCCTTCCAAGTAGCTGGGATTAAGGTCCCTGCCACCACGCCTGGCTAATTTTTGTATTTCTTAGTAGGGACGGGGTTTGCCCATGTTGGCCAGGCTGGTCTCGAACTCCTGGCCTCAGGTGATCCCCCCCGCCTCGGCCTCCCAAAGTGCTGGGATTACAGGCGTGAGCCCCCGGGCCCGGCCAAGATACACTTTTAAGGATGACGATCTCCATTATGTCACCACTGTACACATTAGACACAGGAAAAGTTCTCCTGTTCTAAGTTGTCTTTGGAGGCCATTAGAAGAAATATTCGTTCAAAGGTGGGAAGCTGTGCTGGACTAGACTGAGATCCTTAGGAGACGAGAAAGCCAAAAAGCCTTCCCCATGCCATGCCTGACGACCTTACTGGCTTCCCCTGACGTCCCTTTTCACAGCAACTGAAACCCACTTCTTGTCCGATGAGGAAGTAAGAAAGATTTTGGCTGTTAGCGGCTCCCGCGGAGAAATAACTGTAAACAGTCTCCGTGCTGGAAACCTCCTCCAACACTAGAACTCAAGATCTCCTTTCCCCTACCTCTTCGGGATTCATCTTTAACTTATCACGGATACTGTGTGAGATAGTCGCGGTTAACAGACCGTTACATCCACTTCTACCCAGCAGACACTACAAGACCCAGAATACAGTTCGCTGCCTTCCGAAGAAAATAGCCCACGCATCCCAGCATGCAATACGCTAACGAGGCCGCGAAGATTGTTTTTGTCCCGCCGAAACCGAGCAAAGCACGCTGGAACTTGTAGTCCTTGAGGCCCCTTCCTTAGGTCCTTCGAGCTACTCCGTCCGGCCCCGCCTATTCTCTGCTCTCCTGAACCTTTAGGCTCGTCTCGGGCCATTTGAAGACCAGGAAGTTGATCAATCCCGAGGCTGCTGAGAGACGGTGGCGCGAGTGGGACAGTCGCCAGGGATGGCTGAGCGTGAGGATGCAGCGGGTGTCCGGGCTGCTCTCCTGGACGCTGAGCAGAGTCCTGTGGCTCTCGGGCCTCTCTGAGCCGGGAGCTGCCCGGCAGCCCCGGATCATGGAAGAGAAAGCGCTAGAGGTTTATGGTAATTAATTTTACCCGGCTCAGCATTTGGCGTTATAGGTGCAGGCCAGAGCTGAGGGGTGCGGGGATGATGGCCTCACCTGAGGGCTGGGAGGGGAGACCAGTTTTTTTTTTTTTTTTTCTGGGCAGATCTTGTCCGGGGCGTAGCAGGCACTTTCTTCGGGGTCCTAAGTCACGTGGGAGTGTGGGTCTTTCTGGGAACTGGACTCTGAAAGTAAACCTGGGGCAAGCCGACTCCGGAGGTCTTAAGAGCTTCATTCTCCACGTGTGGCCTACGTCTTAGTGACCATTCCAAGACTTGTGGGAAGAGCACAAGTCTAGGGTGCTTGGTTAGGAAGCAAAACTGGCCTGATTGCACTACTAGAGCCTCGTTCTCTGGCTCCTGGACACACACTTTTGCTACCGCTGAGGGCACTTATAGGTGACAGTCGAGTTGGGGACTGGCCCAAGGTCACAGCCTCTCTCTCCGGCAAAGTCAGTAAGCAGAGGTCCCCGAAAGAAGAGAACGAGATTGGCTTCTTGTAGCGAGGCCTTGTATACACACACATCACACACATACACACTCTTACATATTGTATATTAAATATTTTCTGTTTAACCCTTGGGGCCATCTTTATTGTACAAACAAGGAAACGAAGGTTTAAAGAACTACCTGGAGGTCACACTGCCAGTAAGGAACAGAGCAAAAAAGCGAAGACTGTGCCTTCTGGCTCTAAACTTAATGCACTTTCCACCACTTCACGATTGACTTACAGCTGTTTTTTGTTTTTTAAATTATGTTGTATTGTTTTTGAAAACCGAAAAGACTGGATATAATATTGAGAGATCTAAACATAGAATACAAATATAATTCAAGTAAGGATTATAGGCCAGTAGAAGGACGCCAGGGTTAGGAAATACTTTGGGAGCTAATCTGGTTGACCTCTCTTAATGGAGGCAGGACTTACCTAATCAACCCCCAGGCAGATGATAATTATGAGTGAAATGATCTCCACAAAGCAGACAGACCACATCGCTGTCGTGCCAGATCTCTGTCCACATATTCTAGGGATGGTAGGGCAGTGGAGATATAACTTTGGAAGAGGGTGACTCTAGTCTTCAAACTGATACTGAAGGAAACCTATTTATGCAAAAATAGAGTATGTAATAGAAGGCCATAGACTGAAAAAGAGATACAGAAATTCAGAGAAAGGGAGATACTAGTCTCTGACTGAGGGAATCTGGAAAGACTCTGAAATAAAGAGGAGTCACTTGAGTTGGGCCTCAAAGAATAATTAGGATCTAGATATGTAGAGGGTCAGAGGGCATACTAAGAGGAAACTTAAAAGTATGGAGATAAGAAGATAGGAAATGACAGATAGATGGGGCTATAGGATAGGGTTTGTGGTTAAAGGTGGAGACGTGGTTGAATATTGTTTTAGGTAGTGGGATACAATTGGATACTGAAGGTTTTAAATATAAATGAAGAATTTTAATATCAGTGCAGGGCTGTGGAAGAATGTTAGTCTGGGGAGTATGAGGAGAGCTTTTTTTTATTTATTTTATTTTATTTTTTTTTGGAGACAGGGTCTCACTCTGGTGCCCAGGCTGGAGTGCAGTGGTGTAATCACGGCTCACTGCAGCCTTGACCTCCAAGGCTCAAGCCATCCTCCCACTTCAGCCTCCTGACTCACTGGGACTATAGGCATGCACCACCATGCCCAGCTGATTTTCGTGTTTTTTTGTAGAGATGAGGTTTTGCTATGTTACCCAGGCTGGTCTTGGACTCCTGAGCTCAAGTGATCTGCCTGTCTCGGCCTCCCAAAGGCTGGGATTACAGGCATGAGCCACCACACCCGACCCTTCTTTCTTTTTAGAGAAATAAAGCCAAACCTCTCAAATCTAGAAACTAGAAAACTAGAGAAATGCAATAAGGATGAGATTTAATTTCAGGGTTTAGTGGCGTATAAAGAATATAATACAGTTAAATGAGCCTTATGGGGAGAAAGCCTAGTATGAGAGGCAGAAAATTCCTTTTCAGAAAACTCTGTTTCCCTAAGTCCCATGATAACACAGCTCTGTGAAAGAGAAGCTTTATCCACTTTCTTTCCTGTATTTTCCAATTCTGTTTCTTTTTTTTTTTTTTTTAATCCTGTCACCCAGGCTGGAGTGCAGTGACACAATTTTGGCTCACTGCAGCCTCAGCCTCCTAGGTTCAAGTGATTCTCCTACCTCATCCTCCTGAGTAGCTGTGATTACAGGCACATGCCACCACACCTGGCTAATTTTTATATTTTTAGTAGAGACGGGTTTTCGCCGTGTTGGCCAGGCTGGTCTTGAACTCCTGAACTCAGGTGGGTGGTCCACTTGCCTCAGCCTCCCAAAGCGCTAGGATTACAGGCATGAGCCATCATGCTTGGCAAAATTCTGTTTCTAATCAAGTGACAAGCCCAGGAGCAACTTAAAGAGAAAATAGAGTTTGTTCTTGTTTTTCCCAGTTGCATTTCGGATTACATATAATTGTGTGTGATAAATAATAGAGCAAAACTTCAGATTTGAGAACCTCAAGCACATTCTATGTAAAGTTCTGCTTCTTTCCTTTCTACCTCACCATTTCTCCTTATTGTTCTCCTTTCCTTCATCTTTTTCTCCAGCCTCAGAGTAAGAAAGAAATCTTGTCTTTTCCAAGGCCAACCCAGACTCCTGAATTTTTGATCTCACTCCCTTCTGCTTATTTTACCGGTCTCCCCTCCTCCCCACTTATATTTTCAATTTCTCTTCTCAAAGTTGCCCTTATACTTGTCATTGTTCTAGCTTCCTTATAAAGTCACTGTCCTTTTCCTGTCCCTCCTTTCCCAGCTAAAGCCCTAGGAAGACATTTTCAGTTCCTGCTTGCTTCCCTTTTTGCAATCCGGCCTCAGCCCACCCCCTCTCTACTGAAACTGCTTTCTTACAGCTGACCGGGGTGACAAATGAAAGACCTGTTTTAGCTCTCATCAGCCTGAATTTTCTGCAGCATTTAATGTTATTAACCATCCCTGTCTTCCTTTCTCTAGTTCTTTTTGCTTTTATTTCTCATTCTGATCCCTAAATTAGGTGCTTCGCATGGATCTGTTGAGTCTCTTTTTTCTTTATACCACTGATTCTCAGATTGGGTTGTACCTAAGAACAACCTGAGGAATTTTTAAAACTCAAGGCCAGCAAACCAATTAAATCAGAGTCTCTGGGATTGGGGCCCAGCATCAGTTTTTGTTTGTTTGTTTGTTTTTGTTTTTTAGACGGAGTTTTTGCTCTGTTGCCCAGGTTGGAGTGCAATGACGGGATCTCTGCCCACTGCAACCTCTGCCTTCTGGGTTCAAGTGATTCTCCTGCCTCAGTCTCCCAAGTAGCTGGGATTACAGGTGCCCAGCACCATGCCTGAGTAATTTTTGTATTTTTAGTAGAGACGAGGTTTCACCATGTTCACCACGCTGGTCTCGAACTCTTGACCTAAGGTGATCCACCAGCCTCAGCCTCCCAAAGTGGTAGGATTACAGGCCTGAGCCACTGCACCGGGCCTTGTTGTTTGTTTTGAAACATTCTTGGTAATTCCAATGTTCAGCCAAGGTTCTGCTTATTCTTTGTGAATCCTGTGGGTTTAGCAACCACTCTAGCTTTGGTGCTGTTTTAAACCCTATGCTACAGTTCACCGCTTGCTAGAAAACTCCACTGGATAACCCCTTAAGCACCTCAAAATCATTCTGTATGAAATTGAACTCATTTGCCCTATGCTCCACCCAGATGTCTCCCTTATTCTGTTTCTTTTAATTCTGCCAGTGTTCTCCTAGGTGCTATTTTAGGCCTGGTGTTTTTAGCTGGTATCATTGGTTCTGCTTTTTAGTCTGAGTCTAGCAGCTGATGATGAGTTACCAACTGACAGCACAGTGTTGTCCATGTCACTTGTCTCTAACCTCTTGAGGACTCCCTATTGCCAGTAGCTGGCTGTAAAAGACACTTGATGGTCAGACCCAAATCTCATACTCTAATACTCCATTCACTTATGCCTGCTTCCAGGCAAACTAGGGTTCTTCTTCTTTACTTTCATTCACTTCTTTTCTTTTTTATTTTTTGAGATGGAGTCTCACTCTGTCGCCCAGGCTGGAGAGCAATGGCTGGATCTCGGCTTACTGCAAGCTCCGCCTCCTTGGTTCACACCATTCTCCTGCCTAAGCCTCCTGAGTAGCTGGGACTACAGGCGCCCGCCACCATGCCTGGCTAATTTTGTTTTTGTATTTTTAGTAGAGACGGGGTTTCACCGTGTTAGCCAGGATGGTCTCGATCTCCTGACCTTGTGATCCACCCAAAGTGCTGGGATTACATGCATGAGCCACCACACCCAGCCTTTTTTTTTTTTTTTGAGACAGGGTCTCGCTCTGTTGCCCAGGCTAGAGTGCAGTGACATGATCTCCACTCTCACTGCAACCTCCGCCTCCTAGGCTCAAGCGATCCTCCTGAGTAGCTGGGACCACAGGCCTGTACCACCACACCCAGCTAATTTTTATGTGTATTTTTTGTAGAGACGGGGGGGTCTCACTATGTTGCCGAGGCTGGTCTCGAACTTCTGAGTTCAAGTGATCTTCCTGCCTTTGCCTCTCAAAGTGTTTGGTTTACAGGTGTGAGCCACCATGCCCAGCTACTTTCCTTCACTTTAAATGTCAAATATAATGTTACCCATTTTTCAAGGTTTTATTCAGATTCCACTCCTATGAAGCCTGATACCACATTATTTCAAGCTGAAAGTTATTTCTTCCTCTTGAGCTTCCATGACACTGTTTCCATTCTTACTGTTTTCTCTGCAATGTCCGATTAGAGAAACTGGATGTGGTCTTATAGTAATCCAAGAAAACAGTTTTCTCAAGAGGAAACCAGTAGTGAAAATTTCTGTCAGAAACCTGGGAGTTGCTATATTATTGGCTTAAATGTAAGAGAAGTCAGTGCTTAAATTAGGCCTGGCAAAATCATCTTTATTTAGAATAGTCATTTTTAATAGAATATCTTATCTCTGATGATTCTTTAGATTTGATTAGAACTATCCGGGACCCAGAAAAGCCCAATACTTTAGAAGAACTGGAAGTGGTCTCGGAAAGCTGTGTGGAAGTTCAGGAGATAAATGAAGAAGAATATCTGGTTATTATCAGGTTCACGCCAACAGTACCTCATTGCTCTTTGGCGACTCTTATTGGTAAGTTTTTATGTGCATACATGTATATTTATATAAATTCTAAATTATTCTTGCTGATATTGACCCATAATAACAATTTGCATCATTGTTGAAAAATCATACAGTGTATGTATTACATTTATGGTTTACAGAGTATTTTTGTGTATTCATCTTCTGTAGTCCTCACAATTAGCTTGTTGAGTTAAAATATTATTATCTTCATTTTGCAGATGAGGAACCTGAAGCTCAGAGAGTTTAAGTGACTTGCACAGAATCAGGTAGCCAGGAAATGGTGAAACTAAGGCTCATACCCAGATTTCCTGACTCCAAATCTGCTTCTCCTTTAGTTATGTCAGGTTGCCCCTCCCAGGTATACATGCCCACAATTAATGGAGAGTGCATGTGGGCCAGTGCTTTTCCTCAGTTGTGGAGGTTGGAGTCGGTGGTGTCAGACTAACATTGCTGCCATCACCATCTCCTTTCAGTGACTCTTCTGCCTTCTATGTAGTATGGGCAGAAGTCCTGTTAGGAGGCTGGATTCCCAGTATTTTGGACTTGTTAGCAGATACAGTAAGTGTCTTTGAACATATGCTTTGTTATAAAGGGATTTCATTTCAAACCAAATGTTCATGAGTAGGGGATTGATTAAATAATCAGTGATGGTGAATGTAAACAGTGGAATACTATGCAGCTATAAAGAATGGAGAAGCTCTGCATGTACTGATATGGAGAGATCTCTGTGACATACTGTTAAGAAATAAAAGCAAGTATCATTTTGCTATCATTTGTGTAAAAGCAAAAATATACATTTGTATTTGATTGCATATGCCTGAATAATATTAATACATAAATGAATAGCAATAAGGGTGTTAGTGGGTAATAGTGGTGGTGGGAGCTGGGCAGATGGGGGAAAGGGTGGGAGGGAGACTTTATACCATTTTATGTTTTTACATTTTTGAACCATGGGACTATCTCACCTATTAAAAATCAACAAGTTTATAAAAAATATTGAAAAGGTCACTATTTCGTTATTATTTCCACTATTGTGATTTCTGTCTTTTCTCACTGGTTGACCTGGGTTCCCTCTATTAGTGGTTTCCACCATATAGGCCACATCTTGAGGGACTGGAGGTCTGTGAATCCATAGGTATTATTGTGGTTATTAAAATCCCATTGCTGACTGCACATGGTGGCTCCACCTGTAATCCCAGCACTTTGGGAGGCCAAGGTGGGTAGATCACTTGAGGTCAGGAGTTCGAGACCAGCCTGACCAACATGGTGAAACCCTGTCTCTACTAAAAAAAATACAAAATTAGGCCAGGTGTGGTGGCTCACACCTGTAATCCCAGCACTTTGGGAGACCAAGGCGGACAGATCATGAGGTCAGGAGATGGGTAACACGGTGAAACCCTGTCTCTACTAAAACTACAAAAAATTAGCTGGGCATGGTGGTGGGTACCTGTAGTCCCAGCTACTCAGGAGGTTGAGGCAGGAGAATGGCATGAACCCAGGAAGTGGAGTTTGCAGTGAGCTGAGATTGCGCCACTGCACTCCAGCCTGGGCATCAGAGTGAGACTCCATCTCAAAAAAAAAAAAAAAATTAGCCGGGCATGATGACTCACACCTGTAATCCCAGCTACTTGAGAGGCTGAGGCAGGAAAATCACTTGAACCTGGGAGGCAGAGGTTTCAGTGAGCTGAGATCGTGCCATTGCACACCAGCCTGGGCAACAAGAGCAAAAACTTCATCTCAAAAAAAAAAATTCCTGTTGGCATGGCAGCTCATGCCTATAATCCCAGCACTTTGGAAGGCTGAGGCAGCAGATCACTTGAGGTCTGAAGTTCAAGACCAGCCTGGCCAACATGGTGAAACCCCATCTCTACTAAAAATACAAAAATTAGCTGGGTATGGTGGCACGCACCTGTAATCCCAGCTACTCAGGAGGCTGAGGCAGGAGAATCGCTTGAACATGGGAGGTGGAGGTTGCAGTGGGCTGAGATTGCGCCACTGTACTCCAGCCTAAGTAACAGAGCAAGACTCTGTCTCAAAAAAAAAAAAAAAAAAAAAAAAATCCCATTGCTAGAAAAACACATTACTGAATGTTGAATGCATGGTTATTTTTGGTCATTGGACAATTTGTGAATGAATAGATACTGAAAGTACTGCTGTGGGTGTTGTGGAGGGGGTGTCTTAAAATATTTTGACATATGAGCAAGAGTTCTTAAATATAGAGTTCAAGAACCTATAGCAAATTTATTTATTTATTTATTTTTTGAGATGGAGTTTGACTCTAGTAGCCCAGACTGGAGTGCAGTTGTGTAATCTTGGCTCACTGCAACCTCCACCTACAGGGTTCAAGCGATTCTTCTGCCTCAGCCTCCCAAGTAGGTGGAATTACAGGTGCCTGCCACCACGCCTGGCTAATTTTTTTTGTATTTTTAGTAGAGATGGGGTTTGACTATTTTGGCCAGGCTGGTCTCGAACTTACGATATCAGGTGATCCGCCCGCCTCAGCCTCCCGAAGTGCTGGGATTACAGGCGTGAGCCACCATGCCCAGCCAGCAAATTCATTTGTTAAATTAACATTTATTTCAGTTATGCAAGTAACATGTTTATTGGCAGTAATTTTGATACCCCACAAAAACATAAAGAAAAAAATTAGCTATTATGAAAGAATGTGGCTGGACTCCTATGTGGGAGGCTGAGGCAGGAGAATCGCTTGAACCCAGGAGGCGGAGGTTGCAGGAAGCCAAGATCATGCCACTGCACTCCAGCCCAGGCAACAGTGCGAGACTCCGTCTCAAAAAAAAAAAAAAAGAATATATGCTCTGGGCTAAAATTTCAGATCTATTGGCTGTCCTGTATTGTGGGCTTGGGCAAGTTACTTGACCTTTCTAAGACCCAGTTTCCTTATCTGTAAAATAGGAATAATAAGGATATCTATAGAGTTGTAAGAGTTAAGTAATAACATGAAATATCTGAATTATTTTTCTCATTAAATATTTCTTTTTTTAAACTTTTGTTGTTGTTGAGACAGGGTCTCACTCTCGCCCAGGCTGGAATGCAATGACACGATCTCGGCTCACTGCAGGCAGCCTCCACCTCCCAGGCTCAAGTGATCCTCCCTCCTCATCTCCTGAAAAGTTAGAACTTCAGGCAGGCGCCACCAGGCCTGGCTAGTTTTGCCATGTTGCCCGGGCTGGTCTCAAATTCCTGGGCTCAAGCAATACACATGCCTCAGCCTCCCCAAGTGCTGGGATTACAGACATGAGCCACCATACCCGGCCATCATTAAATATTATTTAATTATATAGTTATAGGTTACATGCTAATCATATTGATACATCGTAAGTTTTGTAACCATTTGGACTACTTCTAGCCTTTTGCAATTGTAAATAATACTGTGATGAGCAACTTTATTTTATTTTATTTTTTGAGACGGAGTCTCACTTTATCACCCAGGCTGGAGTGTAGCGGTGCAATCTTGGCTCACTGGAGCTTCCACCTCGCAGGTTCAAGTGATTCTCCTGCCTCAGCCTCCCAAGTAGCTAGTATTACAGGCGTCCTCCACCATTCCCGGCTAATTTTTGTATTTTTAGTAGAGATGGGGTTTCACCATGTTGGCCAGCCTGGTCTCGAGCTCCTGACCTCAAGTGATATGCCCACTTCGGCCTACCGAAGTGCTGGGATTACAGGTGGGAGCCATCGCGCTTGACCGGACAACTTTATGTATAAATATGTTTTTTTATTTATTTTTTTGAGACAGAGTCTTGCTCTGTCGCCCAGGCTGGAGTGCAATGGCACGATCTTGGCTCACCACAACCTCCACTTCCCAGGTTCAAGTGATTCTCCTGCCTCAGCCTCCCTAGCAGCTGGGATTACAGACATGTGCTACCACACCCAGCTAATTTTGTATTTTTAATAGAGATGTGGTTTCTCGGGCTGAGCACGGTGGCTCACGCCTGTAATCTCAGCAATTTGGGAGGCCAAGACGGGTGGATCACAAGGTCAGGAGATCGAGACCATCCTGGCTAACACGGTGAAACCCCATCTCCACTAAAAATACAAAAAATTAGCTGGGCGAGGTGGCAGGCGCCTATAGTCCCAGCTACTCGGGAGGCTGAGGCAGGAGAATGGCGTGAACCTGGGAGGCAGAGCTTGCAGTGAGCCGAAATCGCGCCACCGCACTCCAGCCTGGGCGACAGAGTGAGACTCCATCTCAAAAAAAAAAATTAAAATAAAAAAGATGTGGTTTCTCCATGTTGGTCAGGCTGGTCTCAAACTCCCAACCTCAGGTGATCCGCCCACCTCGGCCTCCCAAAGTGCTGGAATTATAGGGATGAGCCACCGTGCCTGGCCTTATATAAATATTTTTATATATCTCATTATTGCCTCAGGATAAATTCCTATACGTGGAATAATTGGGTTAGATTATGTACGTATTTTGAAGCCTTATGGTATATATTGGTAAATCCCTGTTTGGAAGTTTATACTCTTTGATGCAGGAGTTAAGGAAATAATTTTATAGAAGAAAATATTCGCCAGACGTGGTGGCCCACACCTGTAATTGTAACACTTTGGTAGGCTGAGGTGAGAGGATCACTGGAGCCTAGGAGTTTGAAACCAGCAATCTCAAAAAAAGAAAAAAAAACATGAAAAAAACTTGAATAAGTTCAAATTGCATCATGATTGCAGTTATAGAAATATCAGGAGAGTGCATGAAATAAAAATAACTTCTGTAAGGGTGCTAACATTAGATTATGGTTGGTATTTCAGATATGTACACTTCCTGAAGAAAGTTTTGTCTTAGCCTTTTTGTTATGGATTTCAGCTAAGACCATTGGCTTTTTATTTTTATTTATTTATTTATTTATTTTGAGACAGAGTCTTGCTCTGTTGCCCAGGTTGGAATGCAGTGGTGCTATCTTGGCTCACTGCAACCTCCGCCTCCTGGGTTCGAACGATTCTTGTGCCTCTGCCTCCAAGTAGCTGGGATTACAGGCACGTGCTACCATGCCCAACTAATTTTTTGTATTTTCAATAGAAACAGGGTTTCTCCATGCAAACTCCTGGCCTCAAGTAATCCACCCGCCTTGGCCTCCCAAAGTGCTGAGATTACAGGTGTGAGCTACCACGCCCAGCCTATTGGCTTTTTAGAGAATTGTATAATAGTGTGTCATAGTAGTTATGTTCAGTCAACACAGCTGGAAAACTTGAGAGAGCCCTTTGTCTCTGATGTGTTAAGAGATACTCCTCCCGAGCTGGTAGTCCTAGCCCGGAAAGGTGCCTGAGTAAGAGTATCACCTACTCAGTGTTACCTTGGTAAGTGATTGACAAGACTCCAAGGGAACAAGAGGGGTAAAGCAGGGAAACAAGTTGATAATCATTTGTGGTGACTTATTCCAGATAAGAATGGCTGAAGGCAGCTGTGGTCCAATGGGAAGGGTCGTAGGGTTTGGAGGTCAGAAAGTGTAGGTTTGGGTTCTACCTCCTAGATAGCAAGGAGACAATGGTGGGGCCCGGCGAAGAGGAACTCTCCCAAATATGCTTTAAGGCAGATCCTCTGAAGAGAGACCCTCTTAAGGAAATGATATATTTTCTTTAGAATTCTCTAATATTTATTATAGAACTACTGTATTTAAGACTGTAAGAGGCCAGGTGCAGTGGCTCACGCCTATAATCCCAGCACTTTGGGAGGCCGAGGCGGGCAGATCACTTGAGGTCAGGAGTTTGAGACCAGCCTGGCCAACATGATGAAACCTCGTCTCTACTAAAAATACAAAAATTAGTGGGTGTGGTGGTTTGCTTCTGTAGTCCCAGCTACTCGGGAGACTGAGACAGGAGAATCTCTTGAACCTGGGAGATGAAGGTTGCAGTGAGCTGAGATCTCGCCACTGCACTCCAGCCTGGGCGACAGAGCAAGCCTCTGTCTCAAAAAAAATAAATAAGTAAATAAAGACCCCGTGGCAAGCACCACCTCATTATATCTCATCTACTCCTTTTCCCTGTTTTGGGATTTTTCAAAAAATTCTCTTAGAAAACAAAATGGTACTTAGAAAACCAAAACCAAGTTATTACCTCCCTAAAAGATAAGTAGTCTAACAATTATATCTTGCTGTATTGCTGTATGGTTTGAGGTTGTGTTGATGTGTCTTAGCATGGGATGATAAACTGAACTTCAGTGGAACTGTTTTTTAAAGAAGTTACTGTATTTGTACCTTGCAGGCATAAAGGATTACAAATTTGAGAGGTTTCATATGGCCCTTTTAAAATGGCTTTGACTTGGTTTTATTTTTTTGTGTGGCCTGGCCTGTTGTGGGGCATTTTAAAAAGTTAATTGAATTGGCCGGGTGGGGTGGCTCATGCCTGTAATCCCAGCGCTTTGGGAGGCTGAGGCATGCGGATCACTTGAGGTAAGGAGTTTGAGACCAGCCTGGCCAACAAGGCAAAACCCCATCTCTACCAAAAATATACAAAATTAGCTGGGTGTGGTGGCATGCACCTGTAATCCCAGCTGCTCAGGAGGCTGAGGCAGGAGAATTGCTTGAACTGAGAGGCAGAGGTTACAGTGAGCCGAGATCGCACTCCTGCACTCCAGCCTGGGTGACAGTGTGAGACTCCATCTCAAAAAAAAAAAAAGCTTAATGAGTTAATTGACTTTTGCTGGAAGGCCAACTCATATAGTAAAAATGGCCTGGGCTTTCCAGTGGTCATAGGTTCCAATCCCAATTCTGCCACTATTGTAACTCAGTGACCTTGAGGAAGTTCCATTGTGACCTTGGTTTAATAATTTGTAGAAGGGGATTAGTAATAGTTTATTGGATTATCCTAAGGAATATGTCAGATTATATAGTAAATGTCCTTGTGTGATGCCAGACTCAAAGGAGCTCTGCTCTGGATTGAGCCAAAGCTGTTTTCAGTGACCGTGTATGGGGGTACATAAACGAAGCTGTATGCTTTTTCAAGAACCAATAAGAAGCAATAAAGAGATGACTGGAGGTGTTTTTTTCCCTCCGCAGGGCTGTGCTTAAGAGTAAAACTTCAGCGATGTTTACCATTTAAACATAAGGTAAGAAAGATGTGTTTTTGTTGTTGTTGTAAAACAGCTTTGTTGAGATATAATTCACATACCACACAATTCACGTATTTATAGTGTACCAATTCAGTGGTTTTTGCTTGTCTGTTACTCATTTGCTTATCTATTATTCAGTTGATGGACATTTAGGTTGTTTCTACTTTTTGTCTATTATAAGTAATGCTGCTATGAACATTCATGTATAAGTTTTTGTGTAGGCATATGTTTTCATTTCTTTTCCACCTGTGAGTGGAATCGCCCAGCCCTATGGTAACTCTGTGGTTAACATTTTGAGGAATTGTTTGTTTTCCACAGTGGCTGCACCATTCTGCATTCCCACCAACACTGTATGAGGGTTCCCACTTCTCTACATCCTTGCTAACATTTATTATTATCTTTGATTATAGCCATTCTAGTGAGTATGAAGTGATGGGTTTTTGTTTTTGTTTTTGTTTGAGTCGGAGTCTCACTCTGTCACCCAGGCTGGAGTGCAGTGGCTCACTGCAACCTCTGCCTCCTGGGTTCAAGCGATTCTGCTGCCTCAGCCTCCTGAGTAGCTGGGACTACAGGCTCCCGCCACCACGCCTGGCTGATTTTTTGTATTTTTAGTAGAGACGGGGTTTCACCATATTGGCCAGGCTGGTCTCCAACTCCTGACCTCGTGATCCGCCCGCCTCGGCCTCCCAAAGTGCTGGGGTTACAGGGGTGAGCCACCACACCCAGCCTTGTTTTTGTTTTTGAGACAGTCTCGCTCTGTCACCAGGCTGGAGTATAGTGGCGTAATCTCGACTCACTGTAACCTCCTCTTCCAGGGATCACATGAGAATCAAGTGATTCTCATGCTTCAGCCTCCCAGACAGCTGGGATTATAAGCATGTACCACCATTCCCGGCTAATTTTTTTTTATTTTTAGTAGAGACAGGGTTTCACCATGTTGGCTAGGCTGGTCTTGAACTCTTGGCCTCAAATAATCCACTGCCTCGGCCTCCCAAAGTGCTGGGATTACAGGCGTGAGCCACCACACCCTGCTGTCATGGTGGTTGTGATTTTTATTTCTCTGGTGGCTAATAATGTTGGGAACCTTTTCCTGTGCTTTTTGGCCATTTGTATATCTTTGGAGAGCTGTCTATTCAGATCCTTTGCCCATTTTAAAATAAGGATGTCTTTTTATTATTGAATTATAAGAGTTTTTTATATATTCTAAATGCAAATCCCTTATTAGATATGATTGTCAAATATGTTCTCCCATTCTGTGTGTCGTCTTTTCAGTTTCTTGAAGGTGTCCTTTACAGTACAAAAGCTTTAAATTTTGATAAACTCTCATTCGTTTTTAATTTTTTTACTTGTGCTTTTGGTGTGATATCTGAGGAAAATGTTTTTAACCCTGCTATTGAGCAAGAATATGGATATCACAGTTAATTCATAGTAATTGGTTATAGCTCATGAATGATTCAGGCTTGTCTCTTACTGCCTCTTGTAATTGCTGGGCAATTATGCCTTCTCTATCTTGCTGCTGCCAAGCCTTTACACAGAGTACCCTGTCTACTTGGAGTTCCTTTCCTCCCGTCTCATATGTTCAAATCCTGCACATCTTTTTTGTTTGCTATTGAGACAGCGTCTTGCTCTGTCTCCCTTGCTCCCTTGCTCCCTTGCTCTGGCTGGAGTGCAGTGGTGTGATCACTGCTTACTGCAGCCTCTATCTCCCAGGCTCAAGTGATTCTCCCACCTCAGCCTCCCAAGTAGCTAGGACTATAGGCATGTACCGCCATGCCTGGCTAATTTTTTCTTAATTTTTGGTAGAGATGAGGTCTCTCTTTGTTGCCCAAGCTAATCTCAAACTCCAGGGCTCAAGTGATCATCTTGCCTTGGCCTCCCAAAATGTTGGGATTATAGGCATGAACCACTGGCCTGGCCAAATCCTACCCACATTTTAAGGCCCAGTGAAATACTTTTTTTATTTTCTATGATGTCAGTCCTGATTTCTTTCTCTTTTTTAAAATGAATTTTTATTTATCTTTTTAAATTTCTTTCTTTTTTTTTTTTTTTTTTTTTGAGACGGAGTCTCACTCTGTCGCCCAGGCTTGAGTGCAGTGGCCGGATCTCAGCTCACTGCAAGCTCCGCCTCCCGGGTTCATGCCATTCTCCTGCCTCAGCCTCCCGAGTAGCTGGAACTACAGGCGCCCGCCGCCTCGCCCGGCTAGTTTTTTGTATTTTTTAGTAGAGACGGGGTTTCACCGGGTTAGCCAGGATGGTCTCGATCTCCTGACCTCGTGATCCGCCCGTCTCGGCCTCCCAAAGTGCTGGGATTACAGGCTTGAGCCACCGCGCCCGGCCTCTTTCTTTTTTTTATCTTTAATTTTTTTAAAATTTTTTTGTATTCACCTTTCCATACTACTAGTCCTGATTTCCATAACTAAACCTATTTCTTTTTTTGAATTGCTATAGCTCTTTCTTTTTTCTTTCTTTTTAAAGACAGAGTCTCACCCTGTTGCCCAAGCTGGAGTACAGTGGTATGATTACAGCTCACCGAACCTTTGATCTCCCAGGTTCAAGTGAGCCTCCCTCCTTACCCTCCCAAGTAGCTAGAACCACAGGCATATGCCACCATGCCCAGCTAATTTTACAGTGACAGAGTCTCACTATGTTACCCAAGCTGGTCTCGAACTCCTGGGCTCAGGCAGTCCTCCCACCTCAGTCTCCCAAAGTGTTTGGGATTATAGGCGTGAGCTACTGCACCTGGCCCCATGGCTCTTTCTTTGTCTTCTGATGTAGAGAGTGTCATTTTCTAACTTGTGTTCTAACTATTTAATTTTCATCTTCCCTCCTGGACTGTCAGCTGCTGCTGCTGCTGTTTTTTTTTTTTGTGTGATGGAATCTCGCTCTGTTGCCCAGGCTGGAACGCAGTGGTACGATCTAGGCTCAGTGCAGCCTCTGTCTCCTGGGTTCAAGCGATTTTCCTGCCTCAACCTCCCAAATAGCTGGGATTACAGGTGCACACCACCACACCCAGCCAAATTTTTGTATTTTTAGCAGAGCCAGGGTTTTGCCATGTTGGCCAGTTTGGTCTCGAACTCCTGACTTTAGGTGATACACCTGCCTCAACCTCCCAAAGTGCTGGGATCACAGTCATGAGCCACCACACCTGACCAGCTGTCAGCTTCTTGAAGTCAAGATTCATAAATGATACATCTCTGTGTTCCTGCTATGATCTTATACATATTAGCAGCTCAATAAATATGTCTTAAATTGAGTAAATTAATAAATTATAATACTAGTGGTTTATGATGCCCTGTGAATTTTATTTTACTTTGCATTTTTAACTGTTTTAATTACAGTGTTTAACTTTTTATTTGGAATTAAAATAATGAAAGAAAAGAAATAAAATAGTGAAGAATAGTACAAAGAAATTCCATATAGGCCGGGCGCGGTGGCTCAAGCCTGTAATCCCAGCACTTTGGGAGGCCGAGACGGGCGGATCACGAGGTCAGGAGATCGAGACCATCCTGGCTAACACGGTGAAACCCCGTCTCTACTAAAAAATACAAAAAACTAGCCGGGCGTGGTGGCGGCGCCTGTAGTCCCAGCTACTCGGGAGGCTGAGGCAGGAGAATGGCGTAAACCCGGGAGGCGGAGCTTGCAGTGAGCTGAGATCCGGCCACTGCACTCCAGCCTGGGCGACAGAGCCAGACTCCGTCTCAAAAAAAAAAAAAAAAAAAAAAGAAATTCCATATATCTTTCACCCAGATTCAGATTCACTAATTGTTAACATTTTACCACATTTGGTTTATCATTAATTTCTCTCTATATATGTACACACACACACACACACACACACACATTTTTTGGAAATGTTTGAGTGCAGATGTAATGCCCTGTTACTCTAAATACCATAGGATGTATTTCCTGAAAACAAGGACATTCTCTTACATTACCACAGTATAAATTTCAAAACCAGCACATTGATACAGTACTGTCATCTAATCTACAGCATATATTCAAATTTCCCCTGTTGTCTGGTAACATCCTTCATGGTGGTCCCTCCTCCTGGCTCTGGTCCTCTACCCATCACACATTGCATTAGTTGTCATGTCTTTTAGTCTCATTTAATTTGGAGTCGTTCCTTAGCCTTTGTTTCATGATCTTGATAGTTTTGAAGAATGTAAACCACATATTTTATAGATTGTCCCTCAAATTGAGTTTTCAATTTATGCATTGAAATGCATAAATTGCATTTTACGGTTAGATTCAGTTTATGCATTTTTGGCAAGAATACTGAATAAATGTGTTCTCATTGCATCACATCAGAGGCCTATAAATTCAGTTTGTCCCATTATTGGTGACAGCTCCCCTCATCAATTGTTTAGTTACCCCAAAGTATAGTTCATATAGGAATAGCTGCATAAATGCTGCCTCTTCCCCTTTATCATTTTTAGAATAATGAGTCCTGCATAAATTTATACTGAAGTAAATTGGTATAGAGTGATTCTATACCTGTTGCTTTGCGGTCTAGAATAAGAGTAGGAGAAAGGTGTTTTGTTTTGTTTCATTTTGTTTTTTTGAGACAAAATCTTGCTCTCTCACCCAGGCTGAAGTGCAGTGGCACAATCTCAGCTTACTGCAACCTCCGCCGTCCAGGTTCAAAGGATTCTCCTGCCTCAGCCTCCCGAGCAGCTGGGACTACAGGCGCATGCCACCAGGCCTGGCTAATTTTTTGTATTTTTAGTAAAGACGGGGTTTTACTATGTTAGCCAGGATGGTCTCGATCTCCTGACCTCGTGATTCACCTGCCTCGGCCTCCCAAAGTGCTGGGATTACAGGCGTGAACCACCGCGCCCGGCCTGTTTTGTATTTTTAAGGAGATTGGGGCCAGGTGCAGTGGCTCACGCCTGTAATCTCTATACTTTGGGAGACCTAGGTGAGCAGATCACTTGAGCTCAGGAATTCAAGACCAGCTTGGGCAATATGGCGAAACCCTATCTCTACAAAAAAAAAATGGAGACAAGGGAGGAGAGGGGTGGGAGTGTGGGAGCTGAGGTGGGAGGATCACCTGAGCCCAGGAAGTCGAGGCTGTAGTGAGACATGATCGCGCCACTGCACTCCAGCCTGGGTGACAGAGTAAGACCTGTCTCAAAAAAAAAAAAAAAAAAAAAAAGGATTGACCTAGATGACCTTTAAGGTCCCTTTTAACTATAATAAGTTATGATTTTTCTCACTCATGAGAAATATCTCAGTAGTAAATAAGTAAATAAAAATTAGTTCATCTGTTCCAATGTTCTCTGGAAAGTAGATGTTTTTATTCCAGCATACTGTCTTTACCACAGGATTTGCAATAATTTTGTAGGTTGTCTCAGAAGCTCTGGGTCTTGGAGGGTAGCTCATGTCTATGGGTGCAGCAGGGCCAGGAGGGATAGCTTAACCAGTATTATACTTGAGAATAAATTTAGCAAGATAATAATGAATGAGAAAAGAAGGATGCTGAAAACTGTATATTGTGATCCCATTTTTGTAAAACAAGCAATGTGAAGAAACATCCAACCCTCGTGTGTGTGTGTGTGTGTGTGTGTATGTAAAATCTGTGTAAGATTATGTGGGTATAGAGAAGAATATGGAAGAAACCACACTAGATCATTATTGTAGATTTCCTGGGTCAGTGGCAGGGCAGCAGGAAGTTTAGATACCAAGTTGGGAAGAAGTAGAGTGCAAAAAGAGATATTCTTAAGTAAAACAACACATATGAGATCTCATTTGTGTAAAATGGTATTTTTGTGTATTCATAAAAAAATTAATGGAAGTACCACTGGCAGGCCTTTCCCAGGTGACCAAAGTAAAAAATCCTACTCATTTTGGTCCTTTTTCTTTAGAGAAGGATGTGGGAGGCTTGTCCCTAAGTCTCTGATGTTAGAAACAAGATTTGGGGCTGCTGGGCACAGTGGCTCATGCCTGTAATCTCAACACTTTGGGAAGCTGAGGCAGGTGGATCACCTGAGGTCAGGAGTTTGAGACCAGTCTGGCCAACATGGGAAACCCCATCTCTACTAAAAAAAAAAAAAAAAAAATTAGCTGGGTGTGGTGGCGTGCGCCTGTAATTCTAGCTACTTGGGAGGCTGAGGTAGGAGAATCGCTTGAACCCAGGAGGTGGAGGTTGCAGTGAGCCAAGATCACACCACTGCAGTCCAGCTTGGGCAACAGAGTGAGACTCCATCTCAAAAAGAAAAAAAAAAACAACAAAACAGGATTTGGGCCCTCATCCCTAGATGTTTGAATTTACTGTACATTCTACTTCACTCTCTTATCTTAGAATACGCTGATGTTTTTTCTTTTATTTTTTTTTCCCTTTCCAGTTGGAAATCTACATTTCTGAAGGAACCCATTCAACAGAAGAAGACAGTAAGTAAATGTTAAAACATAATTGAAAAATAATTGAAAAACAACTTCAGATAGTATTTGGATCCAATATCTTGGATATTGGATTCTTCCGCCAGCCAAGTATCTACTGGGTTACTTTTAAAAAAGTACATAATTAGTTATTAGCTCTTCCTTCCTAGGTGAGGAAACCTAGGCATTTCAAAGTAGTAATTTTTGCAGTGGACTCTTGAGTGTGCTGGAGCCCATGGATGATGACTGGTTTGGGCCAGTGGCTACACATCTGTAAAGAATATCCAGCGCTAGGGACCTTGACTTACGAGCTCTAAGTAGGCTGCTTTTCTTTGGTGGCAGGATGGAAAGAGCTGTGTACTTGAAAGTCTAGCAAGTAGAGCTTTAGTGAATCTTGGGGTAGGTGCTGTCTCTCTGGGTTAGTATATTAGAATGGGAGTGGGTTTTATATAGAGGACCTCTGGCCTACAGAGAGAAATCAATCAGTAGCTACTTAAAAATAGCAGAAGTGGGGTTTGGGAAAAGCAAAAGACAAAATGTTTTGTATGAGCCATGTGTTACATTAAAAACAGAATTTTAATGTTTTTAATCTACAAATGATAGAGTGCAAATAATGAGAAATACATTTAAAAGGCACGTTATACTTAAGTTTCATCACTAAGTAAATTGAGAAGGTGGGAAGAAATAGAGGAATGGAAGAAAGAGATAATAGAGGAAGGGCGACAGTGAGATAGATACCCAGAAGACTCAGAAAGGCATGCACAGGGCTGGAGAGAGACACACAAAATCTCCTACATAAAAGAGAGCTCTAGAGAGGGAAGCCTGCTGCTTCCAGAGGAACAGCTCATCCAGGAAACTTTTTAGGTACTGTCATGAAAACTATTAAAAACCATGTCCTATCTATAGTTCTAGACATGTAGATTATTATACTCTTTGTGATTTGAATTTCTTTAAACCCCATGAGCTGAGGGCTTCTGCCTCTAATTTAGAAAATAAGAATTTAGGTACCCTAAATCCACTCAGGTTATCCTTTTGAAATTCCTTGAATGATGGGATTTTACAACAGCAATAGCATTAAGTCTTATGATTCTTGTTTTACATTTAGTAAATATTTACTAAGTGCCTGCTATGTGTGGGTACAGTTCAGCCTTTGAGATGTATTCCTGCCTTTGTGGAGCCTACATTGTAGTAGGAAGAAACTAAATTGAAAATATTTTCACAGGAATATGTGTATGTTTGTGTGTATTCTACATGAGACATTTTAGCAGCATCCCAGAAAACTCAATCCACGTTAAGAATATAGTTGTCTCTCTTTTGAACTCTTCTGTTAAGAGAGCTGTTAGCTAATTACAGAAAACGTAATGGGCCAATACCTTTATTATATGAAGGTCCATTCAAACTAATTTTAAAAAAAGATCTAGTAGATTAACAGAAAGAGACATGAACAGGAAATTCATGCAAGAAGAATTAATATATGCACATGGAAAATGTTCTATATTTCTATTAGTCAAGGAAATGAAAATTATAACAATAACATTGAGCCGTTTTCTACCTCCTGTTTTATGTATGTATATGTGTGTATTTGTTTTTATTAAATAATACCAGCTATTGCCCAGGCATGGTGGTTCACACCTGTAACCCTAGCACTTTGGGAGGCCAAGGCGAGAGAATGCCTTGAGGCCAGAATTTGAGGCCAGGATTTCAAGAGGGCAACATAGTGAGACCCTGTCTCTACAAAAAAATTTGAAAATTAGCCAGGTGTGGTGGCTCATGCCTGTGGGAGGCTGAGGCAGGAGGATCTCTTGAGCCCAGGAGTGGGAGGTTACAGTGAGCTATGGTTGCACCACTGCACTCAAGCCTGGATGACAGAGCAGGACCCTGTCTCAAAGGATAATAATAATAATGATAATACCACCAGGTATTGCTGCCAAACTGATAGCTCATGTATTGGTGTTGACAATATAAATTGGTGAGTAATTTTGGGAAGTAAATCATTGATATGAATCACACCATAAAAATATTCATACTCTTAAAAAAATCCCATTTTTGAGAATATTTCCAAAAAGAAGGCTATATGTTTAAAGGTATTCATTGTAGCATAGTGTTCATAATTACTTTAGAACACTTAAGACTTTTACCATGTTAAATAACCCTGTAGTTTAAAATACAGGCTTAAGGGACAAAAAATAGCAATTTTCAAAATTGTATTTACTCTGAATATAACTGTATAAAAATATATATATGGACAAAGACTAGGAAAAAAAAATAGATGTGATAAGTAGTAGAATTCTAGTAGATATTTTTCTCTTAAGTCTGCCTTCTAGAGGGGAAATTACATTATGAGTAATTAGCCAAAAACAGCTTTAAGTTCTCAAGGAGTTCAAGTTTTTGTTTCAGCAGACTAATAAAAATACTGTCTGGCGCTGTATATTGACACAGTTCTTCTGCTAACTTTTGTCTGTGTATTTTTCAGTCAATAAGCAGATAAATGACAAAGAGCGAGTGGCAGCTGCAATGGAAAACCCCAACTTACGGGAAATTGTGGAACAGTGTGTCCTTGAACCTGACTGATAGCTGTTTTAAGAGCCATTGGCCTGTAATTGTTTGATATATTTGTTTAAACTCTTTGTATAATGTCAAAGACTCATGTTTAATACATAGGTGATTTGTACCTCAGAGCATTTTTTTAAAGGATTCTTTCCAAGCCAGATTTAATTATAAGGTAGTACCTAATTTGTTCAATGTATAACATTCTCAGGATTTGTAACACTTAAATGATCAGACAGAATAATATTTTCTAGTTATTATGTGTAAGATGAGTTGCTATTTTTCTGATGCTCATTCTGATACAACTACTTTTCGTGTCAAATATCTACTGTGCGCAAATGTACTCAATTTAAATCATTACTCTGTAAAATAAACAGATGATTCTTGTAATGACTCACTGTTTTTATTGGATTGTAAATTCCAGTGTAAATGTCAACTCCTAAAAGATATCTTCAAAGCTTTATTTTTGCTGATTATTTTGTAGAATCAGAGATGTGAGAACCAAAAGGAACCCTTAAGATTGGGCCTACCTTCCTTCCAAGGAGAGTCCTGGACCCCTTCATAGATAAGGAACAAATGTGGAGAAGGCTAGATGGCATACACAGTTTTGAAGATCAAGAAGTCCACCAAAGAAGTTTTGATTAAACCAACCTAAATGTATGGTCTGCACTTTATTTGTACTTTGTTTGGTTTGTTTTAGGGGTTAATGGTTATGTGATGTATAGTAGCCTCGAACATGGCCCCCATGATCCTCACTTCCTGGTATTCATGCCCTTGTATAGTTTCCTTCCATATTGAATTAGAGCTGATGGGTGTGACTAATACAGAATAACAGAAGTGACAGTGGGTGACTTCTGAGGCTAGATCATAAAAGGTATTGCTGTTTTCACCTTAGTCTCTTGGATTGCTCGTTCTGTGGGAATCCAGCTACTATGTCACCAGAACTCAAGCCACCCTGTGGAGAATTCCACATGGAGTGCAACTGAAGCCTCCCAGCAACAACCAGCGCCAGTTGGCAAACCATGTGAGTGAACTCCTGAGCCAGAACTGCCTAGCTCCCAAAGTCTGGACCTAAGCACTGTCTTGGGTGCCAAGGACACAAAGATAAATCAGCCATTGTCTGTCCTGGAGTTCATACTTATCAGCCTGTACCTTCAGCTTCTCTCTGCTCTAGGCAGTGAGTGATTCAGGCTCAGTCTTATCTAGTGCCTGAGCTAGCCCTGGCCAAGTAGAAGCAGAAGCCAGGCAGCAGGTCCAAAGACAAAACCATGCCTTAGGGACTGTCTGGTGAGGACGCTACTGACATGCAACTCCAAGTGGATCATTACTACAGGAGTCCCCCGAGCTGCTGGCCCTGCTGCTCCTGGAAGCTAGATGTGACTTCTGTTGTCTCTGCTACTGCCAGAATGATTTCTCATTTTTGTGTGACTCACTCCAGCTTCCTAGTCCTGGGTGAGATCTCTAGTCGGTTGATCTCAAGTCACATGTCCATGTCCTGGCTGCCAAGGAGGTAGGAGAAAAGAAAATCTGACCTTTGGTGTGGAGAGGTGGACTCTGTCCCCCCAGAAAGACTCACATGGTGGGAATTCTATAGTAGAGTGACAGGGGTCAAAAAACTAACGTCTATTGCATTAATAGTCTATCTTTGGCAAGGGTTAGGAAATGTTTTTGGAAAAGGGCCACATAGGCAATATTTTAGACTTTTTAAGCCATATGCTCTGTTGTAACTATTCAACTCTGCCCTTGTAGCACAAAAGCAGCCGATAGTCTGTGAACAAATAAGCGTGATTGCACTCCAAGAAAACTTTATGGACACAAATTTGAATTTCATATAATTTTCATGTGTCATGAATTACTATTTTCCTTTTGATTTTTTCAACTGTTTAAAAATATAAAAACCATCTTAGCTTGTGAGTTGTACAAAATTCCAACATTGGGCTGGGTTTGGCCTGTGTGCCATTAGCAAACTCCTGATTTACAAGAATGATTATCCTTTCTGGAAAGTCAGACCACTTGGAAAATCACATAAAAGATGTGGAATGGGCCCTCTCCATAGGGGGAAAAAGGCACTCACATGAAACTCTGCATGTGACTCCAGGACATTCACACACTGCTAAGGAGCCAGTGGATCCGGGTTAATAACTCTGCTTTACAAGTAATGCTAGCTGGTCACTGGGCTTCCCCGTCCTTTAATAACCCCTCAGAGCCCTGTGGGTTCACAGCTTTGGCTGGGAGTGTAGGAGCAGAAAGGTGTGATACCTTTCCTCACCCATCATAAAGGTCATGACCAACACCCCCATGACAAAAGACAGGATAACAAGAGAAAAGCATAACAAATGTAGTCAATCCAAGTTTTATGTGACACAGCAGGCTTCAGATAGGAAGAATCCAAAGACCCAGGGAAAACTGCCTTGTTTTTCTGCTTAAGTTTGATGAAGAGTGGACAATTGTGTAGAAATGTGATTGGACAAAAAGAGTGCGATCTAATGGTAATGGACTAAGTGGGGAAACCCAGCAAGGCCTGTCTCTTCAGATTCTTCTTGGCCTTTCTGTGTAGCATTCCTCCCTCCTGGATATGGAGCAGTCTTATGACCGACCCATTGTTAGATAAGGTAGGTCAGAGAATTTCTTTATGGTCAGCTCATGCACAGAAAGGCGGGGGAAATTTAGAGTAATATTTCTAGGTTTTATGATTTGCTTTTTGTTGTTGTTGTTGTCATTGTTTTTGTTTTTGAGACGGTCTTGCTCTGTTACCCAGGCTGGAGTGCAGTGGCACAATCACGGCTCACTGCAGCCCCAACCTCTCAGGCTCAAGTGATCCTCCCACCCCAACTTCCCAAGTAGCTGGGATCACAGGTGCATGCCACCATGCCCAGCTAATTTTTTTTTTTTTTTTTTTTTTTTTTTTTGTATTTTTTTGTAGGGATGGGATTTTCCCTTGTTTCCCAGAGTGGCATGGCTTGCTTTGGAAAGAGGTTCTGGTTTCTGTTACCTCCCTTGAGGAAGAGAGATTCTGTTTTCTGTGACTCCCTTTGGAGGAGGAAGGGGCAGGAGACAGGAGGACAGGATATGGTGAGAGAGAGTCTTTGCTTTTGATGCTGCTTCTGAGGCTTTCTATTCTCCTTTAATTCATGGCACGCCAAGGAGCCATATTTTGGATTATTGCTTTCTGAGCCCCAGTAGGAGCCACTACCTTCTTGTTTTTGTTTTTGATACAGGGTCTCTCTCTGTCACCCTTGCTGGAGTGCAAAGGCACCATCAGGGCTCACTGCAGCCTCAAACTACTGGGCTCAAGCAATTGTCCCATCTCAGCCTCCCAAGAAGCTGGGACTACAGATGAGAGCTGCCAGGCTCAGCTAATTATTTATCAACTACTTTCTTAGACCATTACAAATAAGAAACTTATGGCTGGGCCTGGTGGATTAGGCTGGGTACGGCGGCTCATGCCTGTAATCCAAGCACTTTGGGAGGCCAAGGTGGGTGGATCACGAGGTCAGGAGTTCAAGACCAGCCTGGCCAAGATGGTGAAACCCCATCTCTACTAAAAATACAAAAATTAGCTGAGCATGGTGGCACGTGCCTGTAATCCCAGCTACTCGGGAGGCTGAGGCACAGAATTGCTTAAACCTGGGGTGTGGCAGTTGCAGTGAGCCAAGATTGTGTCACTGCACTCCAGTCTTGGCGACAGAGCGAGACGCCATCTCAGAAAAAAAAAAAAAAAAAAAAAAGGCAGCTTTCTCAGCTCCACCGTGAAGCAACTGCTACCAAAACTGTAGATGGGTCCAGCAGGACACAATTAACTATAGTTAGTGGGGGACAGTTTACTAGGAAGGGGCAGGATTGCTATAACAGTCTCATTGCACTCATATCCCAGGTGGTTTTCCACATACGTGTTAATACCATGGTAGAAAACAAGCCAGTGAACTGTTGGGGTTCAAACTCATTACTGATGCACCACTACTGTTAATACTTTTTTTTTTGAGACACAGTCTCACTCTGTCACCGGGGCTGGAGTGCAGTGACACGATCATGGCTGTATCTCCCAGGCTGAAGCTATCCACCCACCCTAGCCTCCCAGGTAGCTGGGACTACAGATGCACACCACTAAAGCTAGCTAATTTTTAAATTTCTTGTAGAGATGAGGTCTCACTATATTGCCTAGGGGGTCTCAAACTCCTGGGCTCAAGTGATCCTCCCACTTCAGTCTCCCAAAGTGCTGGGATTAAAGGCATGAGTCACTGTGCTCAGCCACATTATTTCTGATATCTTTTTGTATATATGAAATATAAATAAAGATTTTTCCAAAAAACTCCATTGGATTTAGCCTGAACTGGTGGTTGTCCATGACTCAGGTTAGACTGCCTATAGGGCATGGGCGAACCCAGTTCTGGTGTGGACTTATTTGGGGCAGATGTACTGGATGTGGAGAGGATGCTGCTGTATGGGCGGTGAGGTTCTCTCCAAGTGCTGTTAGCACCACACAGACTCTGGATCCTCTTCACAAAGGATGCGGTCAAGAGCACAGAAACTGGTGCCAAAATGCCATCTTGTTCTAATCCAATACTCAGTCACTTAGTAGCTGTGTGACTTTGGGCAAGTTACCTAGCCTCTCTGTATTTTAGTTCCCTCATTTGTAAAATGGGGATGATAAAATTAACCTATTTCATGGGGCCCTTATGATAACTAAAAAGGAATGCTTGTAAAGTGCCGAGCACAATGCCTGGAACCTACTAAATGCTTTATTAGGGTTTGTTAAAAATAGAGAAGGCCAGATGCAGTGACTCACGCCTGTAATCCCAACGTTTGGGAGGCCAAGGTGGGCGGATGGCTTGAGCTCAAGAGTTTGAGACCAGCCTAGGCAACATAGCAGGACCCTGTCTCTACAAAAAATCAAAAAATTAGCACGGCGTGGTGGTGCACGCCTGTAGTTCCAGCTGGTTGAGGGGCTGAGATGGGAGCATCACTTGAAGCCAAGATATTGAGGCACAGTAAACCCTGATCGCGCCACTGCACTCCCCCTCCTGGATGACAGAGCGAGGCCCCGGACTTCCGGGGTAGGAAAGAATAGAGGAAAGGGCTGCTTGGTGCTAAGTTAACTTGGAGAGTTTTTCCTCTGGGGTGGGTGCGATGACCGGGGAGAACACCAGATGGCAGCAAAGCATTATTTCCTGGTGATAGAGCATACCACTTTGCATCAGCTGCCCTGGGTTTTCCCAAAGACCCTGAGGGCACACTCACTCCCGCTCTAACCAGGCTGTGCTAAATGGTACCAGACTACCATGGACTCATTGCAGCCTGTGCCTTTGTTCTGACCGGGGTGATCATCACTGAAGACTTTTTCTTTTCTTTTCTTTTTTTTTTTTTTTTTTTTTTTGAGAGGGAGTCTTGCTCTGTTACCCAGGCTGGAGTGCAGTGCCATAATCTCAGCTCACTGCAACCTTCACCTCCCAGGTTCAACCGATTCTCCTGCCTTAGCCTCCTGAGTAGCTGGGATCACAGGTGCACGCCATCATGCTTGGCTAATTTTTTGTTTTTTTGACAGAGATGGGGTTTCACCGTGTTAGCCAGGATGGTCTTGATCTCCTGACCTAGTGATTCGCCTGCCTCAGCCTCCCAAAGTGCTGGGATTACAGGCGTGAGCCTCCACGTGTGGCCAATCATTGATGACTTTCTTGCCAAAGATTGTGAATGATTTTGAGGCTTTGATATATATTGTTGAATTGGCCTCTGGAGAAATTGTACCGATTGATACCCAACCAAGAGTTGGGTAGGTGTTCCTGCCCTACGCTAATATCGGGTATTATTATTTAAACAAAATTGCCCAAGGTGGAGGATTTTAAAAAGGTTTTTCATTAGCATCTATTTGTAAGGTTAAACATGTAGAAATTTTTTTGAGATGAGAGTCTTGCTCTGTCATCCAGGCTGGAGTGCAGTGGTGCTTTCATACTCACTGCAGCCTCAGACTCCTAGGCTCAAGCAATCCTCCAGCCTCAGCCTCCCGAAGCGCTGGGATAACAGGTGTGAACCACTGTGCCTGGCCTCTACTGGAATGTTCATGTTTTAAAAAGCTAATTGTACAATACAAATATTAGCATTTTCTGTCACATATACTGCAAATATATTTCCTATTTTCTTGTTGTGTAAAACATGTTTAACCCTATTCAGGTTTTTTGTTTGTTTAAGATACCAGGATCTTGCTCTGTTGCCCATGCTGGGTGCAGTGGCAAGGTAATAGCTCACTGCATCCTCTAACTCTTGGGCTCAAGCAATCCTCCTGTTTCAGCTTCCTGAATAGCTGGGACTACAGGTGCAAGCCACTACACCCAGCTAATTTTTGTGTGTTTGTTTTTTGTAGAGATCAGGTCTTGCTATGTTGCCCAGGCTGGTCTTGAACTCCTAGGCTCAAGTGGTTCTCCCATTTCAGCCTCCCAAGTAGCTGAGATTTTTATATTTTTATTCAATTTTTTCTTTTTTTTTTTTTGAGACAGAGTCTTGCTCTGTCGCCCAGGCTGGAGTGCAGTGGTGCAGTCTCCATTAACTGCAACCTACGCCTCCTGGGTTCAAGCGATTCTCCTGCTTCAGCCTCCCGAGTAGCTGGGACGACAGCTGCGTGCCACCATGCCTGGCTTTTATTCAGTTTTTGAATGAGTAATACCACAGGTGGTTCAACATCAAAAAGCATTCAAAGGTATACAGTGAAGACTCCTTCCCAATTTAGTTCACATCCTTTTCCAATAGGTTTCATGATTAATCACCCTGTACTTGTAGCTTCAGAGTTTTTTATGCCTGTAAAAGCCAATACAAACACATATGCCCCTTTTTTGCTTACATTTTAGCATATGTTGTGCTAGAGTGCAGTGGCACAATCACCAGGCTCAAGCAATCCCCCCATTTCAGCCTCCCAAGTAGCTGGGACTACAGGCGTGGGCCACCACACCTGGCTAATTTTTAAATTTTTTGTAGAGGCAGGGTTTTGCTGTATTGTCCAGACTTTTGAAGTTCTGGCCTCAAGCAATCCTCCTGCCTCAGCCTCCTAAAGTGTTGGGATTATAGGTATGAGCCACCATGCGTGTCCAGTTTGTCCTTTTTTACTTTTTAAATTGCCATTAATATACTTTTATGGGATTTAAGTTGTCATTCCTTAATTTTATGTATCCTGGATTTTTTTGGTCATAATTAGAAAGGACTTTCCCTCTCCTAGGGGAATATTTTTCCTATCGTTCCCTTTAATACTTTTATGATTTTATTTTTAAACGTTTCAATCTTTGATCCATTTGGAATTTACACTGGCATAAATACTATTTTCTGAGAATACTCAGTATAATTTACTAAATATTCAGTATAAATACTCAGTACAAACTACTGAGAATTTATACTGGTATAAATACTGAGCCAACTCAGTTTTGTATCCAGATGACTAGTTATTGTCTTGATACTACTTATTGAATAGTTTATCTTATCCATGACCACTATTTTCAAACCGTATGTTATGAATCATATGATCACAGCATTATTTTTTGTAATGAAAATTGTGCAACTTAATGACTAACAATATGTAAAGCGTTAAATAATTGATACTACACTTATTTAATGGAATCTTGGTGTTTTCAAAGACTCTTTAATTACATGGGAGATTCTCAAGACAAAATTAAGACAGAAAGGCAAGATACGAAATAATATATGCCAAGTGATCCCAATTAAAAACAAGAGTACATTTATGTATAAAAATAGCTAGAAGAAATATCACATTTTAAGAGTATTTATTTCTGTCTTTTAAATAGTTTATCTGCAAGGAATGTTTCCTTTTGATAAGTTGATAACCCCTAATAAATATTATTTAAAACACCAAAAAAGACTCGTGTGGTAGGCCAGGGCACAGTGGCTCACGTCTGTAATCCCAGCACTTTGGGAGGGCAAGGCGGGAGGATCAATTAAGGCTAGGAGTTTGAGACCAGCCTGGGCAACATAGCAAGACCCTGTCTCTACAAAAATAAATTAAAAACAAACTTAGTTGTGCATAGTGGCATGTGCCTGCCATCCTAGCTACTAGGGAAGCAAGGCAGAGGATCACTTGAACTCAGGAGCGAGGCTGCAGTGTGCAGTGGTGCACTCCCACCTAGGTGATGGAGCAAGACCTTGTCTTTAAAACAAAACCAAAACACCTCTTGTGGTATATGTGTCTTTTATAAAACCACTTTTAAAAATATATTTTTAAGGTGGGAAATACAATGTATTTTCCCTCTTGGGAAAGTTTCCCTTGATTTTATCCAAACTCCTGGGGACTGGTGCTGCAGCCCACTGCTCACATTCTTGGCTATCTCGAATGTGTTTTCTATTTCATGTCTCCTCAGGTGTCTCCTACAGCTACTTGTGTGGTGTTTGAATATTGGCCTTCCAGCATTTCTTGTTGAATTATTTCAGGCTCACCTTGGTCATAATGAGTGGACCTGGCTTTACCCAGGGCTTCAGCCTTTGGCATTTCACATGAGGAATACCCACTGAGCTGGAGGTCAAGAGGCCTGACTTTTAATCTTGGCTCTGCCCCAGACAAGTGTGAACTTGGGTAAGTCACTCTTGCTCTGGTGGGCCTCCTTCTGTCTTCTATAAAGTGAATGTGTTAGGTGATCTCTAAAGTTCCTTCTGGTTTTGAATGTCTAACTATAGAAACCACAGTAAATCTTGACTTTCTAGGGGTTCCAAGGATCCTTTAGCATCATTAACAACAAACGGGAAGTTCAAGCAATTCTTCTGCCTCAGCCTTCCAAGGAACTGGGATTATGGGCACCCACCACCACGCCCAGTTAATTTTTTGTATTTTTAGTAGAGATGGGGTTTCACTACATTGGCTAGCCTGGTCTCAAACTGCTAACCTCGTGATTCGCCTGCCTCGGCCTCCCAAAGTGCTGGAATTATAGGTGCGAGCCAATGCTACCAGCCTGCTTTTTGTTTTTTAAGGAGTGTCATGGTTCCTAGGTTTTTTCTGTTGTTCTGATTAAGCAAATTTAGGTAAACTGGATCCTATCAACTGAGTTTCCTTGTAGCTGGATTCCTCAGGCTGTCACAACTGTGGGATTTGTTTGTTTGGTTGGTTGGTTGGTTGGTTAGTTGGTTGGTTGGTTGGTTTTGGCTACATTAAGCTGAGTCTATTCAGATGAGACAGAATGTATAGTGAATATGTGTACAAGACTGCCTTGCAGGGTGAAACTTACCAAGTTGCAAAGCCTTGTGAGACCTGCATTTCTCCCACTGAAAAACGTGGCTACCATCAGGGACAACGAGGGCTAATTTTGTGTTAATCTAAACCTACAACTTCATTTTACAGGAAAGAACACTGAGGGCCAGGAAATGTTGAGTGACCTGTCCATACTCACACAGCATGGAAGAATCAGAGCCCATGGGGTCAGGACCTATGGGCTTAGGATATACCGGAAGAGGCCTGATTTCCAGTTAAGCATTTGCCAAAAATCAGCAGTGTGATTTGGGCAAGTCATTTTCCCTACTGATTAAAGTGAATTAACAGAAGGCAATGCAAAATTTTCTAGGTTCCTTATCTATTTTGTGGATTGAAAATAGGGTCTAGGTAGATTGACAGACATAGAACTTCCTGGTGAAATAAATGGGACTGAGCTGGACACAAAAATCAAGATATGATTTTACTCATTTGCCATTTTCATCATTTTCTGAAGGATATTTACAGCTTAATGTGTCTTCACGTTAGCAATGTTTGATGCTCTTGGCAATTATTTTCCTCTTAGCAAGATTTTGCAGAAGAATACATTACCCTTTACTAAGTGCTGTTGTTGAACAGAAATGAAGCCAAGGAAACCTGCATGATCTCTAAGGACCTCAGCACTCACTAGTAGGTCTAAAAACTTAATGAGCATTAATGGGCATTAAATGCAATGCTTATTCTTTTTTTTTCTGGAATGAACAGATCCCCATGGATATAAGCCTACCATCCTCAGAACAGCTTCTATTATGGATATTTTGTTTTATTAATTAACCTAGTTTTCTTTAATCATGGAAGTAATATAGAAATGTAGCAAAACCAAAAAAGTTCAAAAAATATAAGATGAAAACCAGAAGTACCCCTTTTGGCCCAACCCAGTGATACTCACTACTGTGGTCTGAATGTTTATGTAGTCTCCAAATTCATATGTTGAAATCCTAACCCCCAAAGTGATGGTATTAGGAGATGGGAATTTATTAGAATATTAGGAGGCAGGTGTTGATTAGGTCATAAGAGCAGAGCATACCCCCTCTTCCCACCCCTTGCTTTCTTTTTTCTTTTTGAGACAGGGTCTCACTCTGCCTTCTAGGCCAGAGTGCAGTAGCACAATCATAGCTCACTGAAATCACACACTCCTGGGCTCAAGCAATCCTCCAGCCTCAGCCTCTCAAGTAGCCAGGACTATGGGTGCACACCACTATGCTCAGCTAATTTTAATTTTTTGGTAGAGAGGGTCTCGCTATGTTACCCAGGCTGGTCTCAAACTTCTGCCTCAAGCAATCGTCCCACCTCAGCCTCTCAAAGCTCTGGATTACAGACATGAACCACTATGCCTGTCCCAGAGCCCTTTTAAAAGATTAGTGCCCTTATAAAAGAGGCCTGGGACAGCTGCATTGCCCCTACCATTATGCAAAGACACAATGAGAAGGCTCCATCTATGAGCTAGAGAGTTGGCCCTCACCAGACCAATTTGCCAGTGCCTTGAACTTGGACTTCCCAGCCTCCAGAACTGTAAGAAATACATTTCTGTTGTTTTAAACTACTCAGTTTATAGTATTTTGTTATAGCAGTCCAAATAGACTAAGATATCCCTAGAGACAACCACTTTCAAAAATTTTTAGTTTTGCTGTTTCTGCTAATTACCATTAGTAAATTTTTTTTTTTTTTTTTTTTTTTTGAGATGCAGTCTTGCTCTGTCGCCCAGGCTGGAGTGCAATCGTGTGATCTTGACTCACTGCAGCCTCTGCCTCCCGGGTTCCAGCGATTCTCCTGCCTCATCCTCCTGGGTAGCTGGGATTACAGGTGCATGCCACCACTCCTGGCTAATTTTTGTATTTTTAGTAGAAATGGCGTTTCACCCATGTTGGCCAGGTTGGTCTTGAACTCCTGACCTCAGGTGATCTGCCTGCCTTCACCTCCCAAAGTGCTGGGATTACAGGTGTGAGCCACCATGCCCAGCCTACTATAGTAAATTTTATGTTTTATTTTCCCCCAACCTTTTTTTTTTTAAATTTTTAGTAGCAGTGAGGTCTCACTCTGTTGCCCGGGCTGATCTCAGACTCCTGGCATCAAGTAATCCTCCTCCCTCAGCCTCCCAAAGTGCTGGGATTACAGACATGAGCGACCACACCTGGCCTTTTCTTTTGTTTAGAGAAAAAACATACACATTTTATTAACGTGTACATGATCACTCTGTGATCACCCCTATGTTCCCCAACTTTTGATTTAAAGAAATTTCAAACTGGCCGGGCATGGTGGCTCACGGCTGTAATCCCAGCACTTTGGGAGGCCGAGGAAGGTGGATCATGAGGTCAAGAGTTCAAGAAGAGCCTGGCCAAGATGGTGAAACCCCGTCTCTACTACAAATACAAAAATTAGCCAGGCGTGGTGGCGGGCGCCTGTAATCCCAGTTACTCAGGAGGCTGAGGCAGAGAATTGCTTGAACCTGGCAGGCGGAGGTTTCAGTGAGCCGAAATCGCACCATTGCACTCCAGCTTGGGCGACAGAGCAAGACTCTGTCTCAACAACAACCACCACCACCACCACAACAAACATTCAAACTTACAGAGAAGTTGCAAAAATTTACCTAGATTCACTTATCAACTGTTAACAATTTTCCCTATTTGGCTTTCTTTCACTGTACATATATACAAATTTTCTTTTTTGCTGAATAATTTGAGGAACAGATGTAGAGATAGAGCCATTTTTCCTCAAATATGCATGCTCCAAGAATTAAGGGTATTTGGCTGGGAGTGGTGACTCACACCTGTAATCCCAGCACTTTGGGAGGCCAAGGCAGGTGGATTGCTTGAGGCCAGGAGTTTGAGACCAGCCTGGCCAATATGGTGAAACCCCATCTCTACTAAAAATAAAAATATTAGCCAGGCATGGTGGCAGGTGCCTGTAATCCCAGTCATTGGGAAGGCTGAGGCACGAGAATCACTTGAACCTGGGAGGTGGAGGTTGTAGTGAGCCAAGATCATGCCACTGTACTCCAGCCTGGGTGACAGAGTGAGACTCTTTCTCAAAAAAACAAAACAAAACAAAACAAAAAAATTAAGGACATTCTCCCCTATAACCACAATATACTTCTCCCACTGAGGAAAATGTTATCACTGACATGATTATCTAATAAAATGTCCATTTTCAGATTTCCATAATTGTTCAATGTCTCTTTCAACGTTACTGAAATAATTTATTTCAATCCAGGATCCAATCACTCATCACACATGACACTGAATTTGTTATGTCTCTTCAGCTGTATTTTTCTTTCATGACACTGATATTTTTGAAGGGTACAGGTCAGTTGTTTTTTAGAATATCCCTCAATCTGGACTTGTCTGATTGTGTCCTCATGATTAGATTCAGAGTCTACATTTTTGACAGGAGAACTACAGCAATGATGTGATATCTTAGTACTGCACACCAGTAGACACATGGTGTCAGTTTGTCTTATTATAATTGATGCTAAGTTAGTTTGGTAATTTCCTTAAGGAGGTTTCTGTCAGATTCCTCCCAGATTACTCACAAATGAGTAATTTGTGAGGTGATACCTAGAGACCAGATGAGTACCCTGTTCTCCAACAATCGTTCACTCTGTTGTGGTTTTTTTTTTTTTTTTTTTTTGAGACACAGTCTCACTCTGTCATCCAGACTGAAGTGCAATGGCATGATCTTGGCTCGCTGCAACTTCTGCCTCTTGGGTTCAAGCAATTCTCCTGCCTCAGCCTCCCAAGTAGCTGGGATTACAGGCACCTGCCACTACGCCCAGCTAAATTTTTGTATTTTTAGTAGAGACAGGGTTTCACCATGTTGACCAGGCTGGTCTCAAACTCCTGACCTCAGGTAATCCACCTACCTCGGCTTCACCAAGTGCTGGGATTACAGGCATGAGCCACCGTGCCTGGCCTCAGTGGTTTTATAATCCAGTGATGCTCCTTGCCTGAATCACTTACTACTATGTGCTTCTAAAGTGGTGATTTTAAAAATTCCATTACTTCTATACTTATTGGTTGACATGTTTCTTGAAAATATCATTTTCCTTTCTTTCCCTCTCCTTTAAAAAATTAATTTTTTAAAATTTTAGTATTTATTTTTATTTTTTTATAGAGACAGGGTCTTGCTCTGTCACCCAGGTTGGCATGCAGTGGTGTGATCATAGCTCACTGCAACCTTGAAATCCTGTACTCAAATGATCCTCCTGACTCACAAGCATGCACTATTATTCCAAACTAAGTTTTTCTGTTTTTTAGAGACAGAGTCTTGCTATGTTGCCCGGGCTAGGCTCAAACTCCTGGCCTCAAGCAATTCTCCTGCCTTGGCCTCCCAAAGTGCTGGCATTACAGATGTAAGCCACTGCACTTGGTCAAACATTTTTATTTTAAAATAGATTGTAACACATAGATTCTTTTAAAATTATCTGATGTGTGGCCAGGCACGGTGGCTCATGCCTGTAATCCCAGCACTTTGGGAAGCCAAGGCAGGTGGATCACCTGAGGTCAGGAGTTCGAGACCAGCCTAGCCAACATGGTGAAACCCCGTCTCTACTAAAAATACAAAAATTAGCCAGGTGTGGTGGCAGGCACCTGTAATCCCAGCTACTTGTGAGGCTGAGGCAGGAGAATTGCTGGAACCTGGTAGATGGAGGTTGCAGTGAGCCGAGATCTCGCCATTGCACTCCAGCCTGGGGGACAAGAGTGAGACTTTGACTCAAAAAAAAAAAAAAAAAAAAAAAAATCTGATGTGTTCTAATCTGGTCCTGTCATTATTTCAATACTGAAATAATTCCCAGTCTGGCTGGTGAGAGTCCTTTCAAGTTGGCTTCTTTGTCCTCTTGGCATGCTATTGTCATTTTTGAGCACTTTCTTACTTTGTGGCACAAGATGCTCTAGGTTACTTTGTACTCTTCCTGTTCCAGCCCTGGTATCAGCCATTTCCGTTAGGAATCTTCCATTATAATTTAGATTTATGTATTTATTTTTGAGAGGGAGTCTCACTGTGTCACCCAGGCTGGAGTGCAGTGGCATGATCTCGGCTCACTGCGACCTCCACCTCCTGGGCTGAAGTGATCCTCTCACCTCAGCCTTCCAAGTAGCTGGGGCTACAGGCACGCCACCACACCTGGCTACCTTTAATAACTTAAAATAACATAAGCTGGTGCAAATTCCCTTCCTTCTATTGCTTTTTTCCTTTCCACTTCCCAAATTTGCTATACATATTTTTCATTGTCAAGATGAATAAGATGACATTTTGATGTGTGCCTATAAACTAGTCAATCCCTTGTGCTCATAGGCTGACTCTAAAAATTAAAAACCAATAAATGACTCATTTTATGATTTTATATATACAATATATTTTCTCTAGAACCAATTACACATTCGGTCTCAAATTTTTGTAGATATGCATCTCCTTCAGGGACTATTGAAGATTCACATTTCTTAGCCCCAGAAGTTCTGAATCAATTTTAAGGGGCCCAGTGATTCTAGTACATTCTGAAGAGATGTTATTGGGTATACAAAGAAAGAAGGAAATGTAATTTCATGCTGTTAAACTTTGGCAACTTGTCTAAGAGTCCTCCAAATGTCAGCCCCTGTTTTCTTTCTAGCTGTATTTTCTTGAGTCTTATTTGGCCCACACTATTTCTTATATACCATATTACCCTCTTGCTTTGATTCTTCTTTTTTTCT